TAGTGTGGGGGGGGGGATAGAATCAAAGCAATGGAGTGGATTGATATCCGTTGCTTGTGCGCAAATTAAAACCGGTAAATTATAAATATATTTAAAAGAAAATTCTGATGGAAACACAAAGGGAAATAATTATCAAGAAATTAAAATAATAATTAATTTAAAAATAGAAAAATTAACGTAAAGATGCGATCTTGTCAACAGCTAACATGATTATATCCGTAAAAATAGTGCTCCATACTAATATTGCATATTAATTTAGGAAAATATATCCGTACAATAGTGGATGAAGAACAAAGCGATAAAATAAGACCAATTCGTTAACATAATTTAATCAAGTAAAAATTTCATGAAAATTTAAGAGAAATTAAAAATAAAATATAAAAAGAACATATAAAGGGCAAAGATAGAAAGAGGACATGTGCTTACGAATTACTTAATTTAAAAATATTTCCATAACCAAGTTGCCAGATTACAAACTATTAAAATAAAGCTTAATTGAGACTAGTGGGATACATTTTTCGGGCGCGTTCATACTAATCTCAAGAACTGTTTCTGATTTGTCCGTAATCTTGGATTGATCGGAAAACTGAGAGTGAGCAAGATAAAAATATATCATGTTAGATTTATAATAAAAAGAGGAGGTCAAATTTTATGTATTACATTTAATACAATTAGTTTTACAGTAATTATTAACATTTATTGCATAATATTTAAAGAATATTGGAAGAATTTCCTGCTATATATTTTATCGATAATAACATTATGCACAAACAAAAACAATCCGTTAATTTGTTACAAGAAATCAAAGTTTTTGGAATGGCACATTTACCACTTCATTTTTTTTTTAAAGTGTTAAAGCATTGAATGTAAAATATTTAACTTTTTAAATAATGTTTGAAATTTTTTTAAAATTATGTCAATTAAGTTATGAATAACAAAACCAATAAAATTTTTAACACTATTTCTATATTTTGCAATTATCACGATATTTTGTAATTATTGGGGTAATAAAGAGGTGATCAGCCTAGTTGACAGCAAAGCTTAATATCACGTTTTCACCAAGATAGAGGTCTTCAATTCGTTCCATTTTTTAGGAGATAAATAGAAAATCTAAAAAATTTTAATTCAGATGTTTGTAACTATTGGGGTATGCTAAATAATATGTTGCTATAAAGATAGAAATCTTTAAATTCGGACTATGTGTTCTTTATCATATTATAAAGAACACTAAACTAGTTTCATTTTAATGTTTTGTAACTATCGGGTTAACTGAAGGTAGTTATCCTAACTGACAGCAAATCAAAATGAAATTGCACGTTCCAAATCATCTAGAAGTCCCGCGAATCCGTGTGTTTCTGCAGGAGAAAGACCTTAAAACAGTAGGCTCATATAGGCGAACCAGTCATAGTCCTACTATCTTCAGGCGTAAAAGTATATGAATACAAATAATTATCATACTATGGATGGTTGACTGAATATAAACAATAACACGCTTCCTAAATCCGAAAGAAATTTATAAAACTTCCAGTGTATCCTTCCGCTTATGTTATGCCTACGAGACGATGTGTGAACAGGCTTAAAATTCTAGGAAGTTTTATTACTGTGATTTGTGTTAAAATTTACGCGTAATTTTACCATACATAAGAGTTTTCTGTAATTTATAAATTCTAACAGGTCCTGAGCCTAAACCAAATTTAACAAAATTAATATCACTGCATAAAAAAAAGTGTAAGATGAGTCATGTTTTGAGTGTTATCTCTGATTTGGATAAATTTGTGTAAGATAACACCGTTTATTATTTTTTGATTAGCATCATAGCAAGCTCGCAGAGTCTTCCGAATTCATTGTTTACATCCGTTGTTTATTTCGTTGAAAGTTACATTAAAAAAACGCGTTATATTGAAAACACTGCAAGTATAATAATATTGAATTGTCTTTTTTTTTCTTTTTTTTTTCAAATTTATTCTTAAAATTCAGTTGGTCGGAAATCTTACGACGCATTTTGACCCCTAGCGCCATCTGCGCTTAAATTTACACTGTCAACCATCCATGAATAGTTTTTTCTTTACAATAAATATCCTTTTAGAAATAGCGAAACTTCAAAGGTAACACCTTCTCTACTAATTCTAATTTGTATTTGAGTAAAAAAGAAACACGTTTTACAACTTCAGGCATAAAAGAAAATAGCTGCAAAATATCATAAATTTACTCAAGTAGTGTTCGCTAAACTGAATCCCGCGGTGCAGAGAAATATTTAATATTGACACAAAAATTGTCACATAAAAAAAAAATTTAATTATTGACACAAAATAACTCGAAAGCTAATGTCCGTATCAATGACGTTTCATAACGGAATGTTATTAGAGCACTTTTCTTAAAATTCTATCAAATGTGACAATGAAAATTTTCTGAAATAATTGTGATTGCAACTTTTTTTCTGTATATACATAGAGAGATGCATAAATTTATCGTATTTCCTAGATTGACAGCGAGGAATATAATTTTTATTTCATAACTTTCTCACAGTTCTTTTTTAACTTCTCTACAATACAATATTACTCTTAAATAGCTTAATTTTGCGGACTTAAACACAGTTATATTATTACTTTATTATTATTTAGTAAAGTCATCAATTCCTCTACTTCTATTTTCAATAAATGTGTCTTTCAGAACAAATGGTACAGTAAAAAAAAAATAATAATAAATAAAAAAAAACAATTTATGTATTTTTCCGTATTGCATAAAATAATGATAAATAATTTGACACATGTGGAAAAATTGCAATAAATTGGCAAGGAAAGAAACATTATATTAATTAGTTCAGCTGAAATCCGAAAGTCCTGTTGTCCTTTTGTGTTCGTTATAAGCGAGTTTGACTACTATGTTTGTTATTTAGTACATGTAAACTCCTTTTGGTGCGCTGAATTCAAATAATAAATCATTTTGTAATAATGAGACAAATTACATTTTTAGAAATACAAACATACGAGCATCTATGAATGAAAAATGAGAGTCGCCTATAAAGTAAGTTTCCCAAGGTCCATAAAAAGAAAAGAAAAAAATATATATTTACAAGAAAGATTCATCGAAAAAATTACAGCAATATTTCTGTTACTTCTAAACCTAAGAACTTCCGGAAATGTAACATATACTGTTTTACAGTAGTATAGTTTAGTATGAACAAATTTTTAATCACTGTCAGTGTCGTAATGAAATAAATGTAAGAATTCCTCCCATGATTGCTGTATACCACCAAATAATTTTAAAATCTCAATTTAAAAAAAAAATGCAGAACAAATTGAAATGTTCTCATTAAAGCTTAAATCCAAAAAGGACTTCTATACATCTTCAAATGCCATTCCCACTGAAAGTCACCTAGTTGATGTGTAGCTTTTTCCGCTAGTGCTTAGGCCGGATTTCGATTCCCCGTTGTACAGCTTAAGGGTATTTAATCAGTATCTTATTCCTGATTTCTGCATTCAGGGAACATTCTCACGACATGCGAATAATTCGCATGCAATTAAAAACCTGATTGGTGAATTCATTCCAAGAATCAGGTCTCCTTAAACTGCAAATTTTTAACTAGCAGGGAGAAAAGTTCTTAAGGAGCCATACACACTGCAACAGATTCCCATCATATATGCCATAGCACTCATATGCAAATCCAACTTTCGCATGCACTTCCACTTGAGTCTAAACATTCACTCGCATCTGTTGGATACATTTAGTGTTTCGCCTAATATTAAAAACAATACCCTACAATGCGAAATGCACATTAGTGTAATGTCTTTGACTGCTTCAGGGCTAGAAAAGTCCACGTACACAAGGGTGGTAGGGTAATGTTGGGCGAGGTGAGGTTTACTTCCCACCTATCTAAATTACGGTGATGAAGTGCGTGCTTGCACTACCATTGTTTTCAAATCATCATTACGGATGAATCCCAACGCGTCGTAAATAGTCCATTAGTGTAGCTCTATTACAAACTTAACTACCAAACCACATCAATGACGATAGATAACTAATCAACTAACGTAGTTAAGTTAATTGATAATCAAAATATCATATCTATGTTCTAAATATGAACAAACACCGGTTCTGAAGCGTGCGAAGAGGTTTCTCCTTTCTCAAACACACACAACTCAAAACTTTTTACGTAATAGACCAGTTGAACTCTTTGCTTCGGAAATCCCCTTATATTTATGAAACAAACATAAGCATTCAAACCTACACTGTTAGGAAACCCTGCCTGCTCGCATTGTGCTACAGCTTATCCACAGCTGGCAAAAAGGGCCATTCTAGCCGCATGCGATTTTGTCTTTCACATGTGAACGGATAAATATTTTTCAACGATCTATTTCTCATTCACATGTGAAAAAATCACAGGCAGTGAGAAGGGACAATTGGCGATCGAAATGTGCTACAGGTGACGTAGAGCAGAACTCTCTACCTATTTTGGCAATACTTTGCATGTTTTCCCCATTAGCGTGTGGAAAGTCATAGAGTACGTTAGTTTCTCTCTTGATTTTCATATAGATTAAAATCTTCTAAGTTGGAAAACTATGTGGAACTGAAAACTACATTAAACGTAGTTCTAAAGAAAAGTATCACGAAAATATTAAAAAATATTTTTATTAAATAAAAAGGAAAAATATGATAAAAAGGGTAAATATCGTACTACATTCCTGTACAACTGAAAAGAGGAGGAGAGGGAAGGGAGAAGGGCTAATAAAGGCATGTAACTGGTCTCTCCCCAGATGGCGTATTCGAGTGTTGCGATCGCCAATCTCTCTCATCTCTCGCATTTCCGACCACCACGTAGAAAAATGGAGAATCTGATTGGTGAGTTTTACTCGGGAAAATATTTTCCCTTCGATGACTATCGGAAGTGCGAAAACCGCATTCTGTGAAAATGTTCCGGAATAATCCAAATTAATAAGGGTTCATTTAAAAACGAATATGTGAAGGCAAACTAACTTTTAAGTTCTCATAAGAATGTATCTATGAAAGATCATTAGTGACGTATTACTTAATTTACGTTTACTTTGACTTCTATTACTATGAACAATTACTACAACTTCACCCTCTAAAATTTTGTAAACATTAATCAAGTTGCAAGTATTGCGCTGAAAGCGGTAATTGACAACAAATTTTAAGTAATTAAAGTAGAAATTTACATTTTTTTACTTGTTTTAATTCTGTTCTGTATAGTTGTTATACTCATAAGACGTTTTATGCTCAACTTCTGCTGGGACTTTTAAAAAATAAAACGTAGTTTCCTGCATGTGTGAATTTTCTTTTTCCCATGTACCACTTAACTAATATAAAAAAAAGGGTTGGGTGTTATAATTAAGCATTAATTGAGCATGTCAAATTGATTGAGACGTTGAGTTTTTTTCTATCAAATGTAGAAATTAAGTTGACTTACAAAAATATTTATTATCATGATATTCTTTGTCTCTGTACATATTATTTGTATTAATGTTTCTGCAGAAGTTTTTCTTAAAGTTGAAGTGCCTGCTTCAATGCAGGTACTTCATCTTTCTAGAAAATTACTCTACATATGTTTCATTTCTCTACACATGTTTCATATTCCATATACACTTCAAAGAAAAATTCAACAGTTTTCTTAGTAATTTAACTATTTTGGATCTTTAGCTTGAGAATAGACAATTTTTATCAATGTGAGATAAATAAATTGAACTGAAAATATTGAAGCGATTAGTTTGTTTGCAAATTATATATTTTGTAAAAGTGGGTATTTAAAGTAATGATTGCTCTAACATTAGCTATTGTTACGGAATCCAATTTTAGAAATGATTCTAAATATCAAGCATTAATTCTACAAACTTCGAAATGATTTTAAAAAAACTACTTTGTATGAAATATCAAAATAAGTGAAGTATGTGGATGTGTGGGTTTTAACACTTATAATACAATAGTACCTTAAATAAATACTGTTTTTAATAAGCATACACAATATAAATAATGTTATAAACACACATTCTATGTGTGTTCTGTTTTTTGACCCTTAGGAAGAGTTTCAATTCTATCTATCTTTAATCTATCAATTTAAGAAGAATCTTGTATTCAACTGTTCTCAAGTTTATTTTTTCTTATTTTACATCCAGCTACGGAATCATTACCTAAAAGTTTATTCAGAGAACAATTGACTTTGCATTATGTACCAACATATATTTTCTCCTTTTTATTTAATTATTTCTATTTATAGTTACTTATTAAAATTTTATAATTAGGCTCTAACAATTTAATAAGAACTTAAAATAAATATTTAATTATCAACTATTCTCAAGTTTTTTTTTTTACATCCTGGAAAGGAACTTTTTTCTGAAAGATGACTTTAGAGGACAGTTGACATTGAATTATATACCAACATATATTTTCTCCCTTTTTTTAAGAAAATTATTTCTACTTATAGTTACTTGTATGCTTAAAATTTAAGGATTACAATGGGATAAAGTGGGTATATATATATTAAAAAACATTTATTTTCTGTTGATAAGTTGAGATAATTTATTTAATATTTTTAGAGACATTTATTAGGATTGAGGCAAGTTTTTTTATTTCAGTTTTAGAAACTTATAAAAAGATTTAATGTTTACAAATTATTTGTTTTTTATCAACTTATAAAGTTATCTATTTATGATCAACTTATGGTAGCTTAAGCAGTTGAACTTATAAGTTCATTAAAAACTGTGAAAAGCTTAATTTTACTTCTAACTGGTAGAGGGACATCTATATAGAAATTTTTAAGAATAAATTTTACAATTATATCTATTACATGAATTGTTTTCTGAGGTTTGGTGAAGTGGGTACATGGTTGGGCTTAGCTAAATGTTGTATGATAGAGATTTTAGTTTTAATAAGTATCTAATATATATTTTATAATGAGCAAGCTAAAAAAATAATTTACTTTTAAAGAGAAGAATAATAGGGAGAATAACAATGTAACAGATGTGTTATACAATTAATAGAATTTTCAAAATAGCATAATTGTACAACTTAATGAGCATATTTAAAGATAAAGATGAGTTTTCACACAAGTTTCTGTCTTCATATGGCAGTTTTTTCATGGAAAACAAAACAATTTCCTTAAAGTAACTAAATTCAATAAAAATACATCTCTGTTATAAATAATAAGTTTTTAGCATTTCTTTTTTTTTTTAAATATAATCATAATACATTTATTTAAAAACGTTTTTATTTCTAAAAAAATATTTACATTTGTTTTTTAGTGGAATATATACTAATTTTAGAGCTATACCCACTTTCCTCCACTCTATGGTAAAGTGCATGTATCAACAAAAAATAAATTTTTTTAAGGGTTACTGTTAGAAAACAATCAAACAAAATAGATCAGTTTTGCCTAATGTTTGGTCTTAATAAATCCAATGTATGTAAAATACATCAAAATTTTCAGCCGAATAAATTTAATGGTTTGATTTTATGTTATCCACTTTACTCCGTCTTACCCTATAATTGGAATCTAAAAATTTAAGAAGAATCTGGTATAAATATTTTTCTTTTCAAGCTTATTTTTTCTCATTTTACATCCTGCAAAGAATTGTTTGCTGAAAGTTGACTTAAGAGACAGTCGCTTGGAAACATCTTGTGGGCAAAGTTTCTCTCAATATAAGGGTTTCTTTGCTCACCCTGTTTTTTTTGTTTTTTTTTTTTACTGAAGAGAAAATTGGGGGGGGGGGTTTAAACACTATATTGATTTTTTAAGCCTAATACCAAAGCAAGAAATTATTTCTTCTGTTAAAGAAGTACAGAAAAATTTTACTAGCCGTTTAAAGCTGTGCAAAGTAATCCCAGTTGACTGTAGCAATGTTTTCTCAGTTTTTTACATTGTATGACCACTTTATAAGCTAGTAAGGGTAGATTGCTACAGGTTTTTCACATTTTTATTTATTTTTTACAGTATATTTGATGAAATTTATGATTTTGTTCATAGTCATTTATTTTAATTATTTTATTTTAATAATTTGCCATCTGTTTATCAGGTTATGCCTTGTAATACACCACCACCACCCCCTATTCTGGAAGATTTGGATGATGTCATTGAGGATGGTAATTTGAGATTTAATCTGTATTTTAAAGAATTTTTTTTTTTAAATAATTACTGTTATTTACTGAAATTTAAATATTTTACCTGTTGCATTCCATTCCTATGGAGGAATGCCAAATCCCATAGAAATCTTTGTTCTATTATCCCTATCTAAAATGAAATATTTTTTTAGTGAGAAACACCATGACTCTGACTGAAAAATGGTTAAATTACAACATACTCACTATTATAAACTTTTGAAGGATTAATTGGGATTATTAAAGTATATTTCTCATCTGCTACTTAAGTAGATCTTATGAGTTATAATATTATTTTAGTTATTTGTTCAATATTGTTGCATAGCCATTTTTAAATTATCTCTTCACTAATAAAATAATTTTGAAATGATACATAATTCTAAAAATTATTAAAATTCATTTAGATTAAAAACTTACCTTTATGCACCTCAGAAAACACCTTTAAATCTCTGGGGATTTAAAATGAGCTTAAAAAAATAAGAGAAAGGAAAATTTTGTCCAAAAAACTGGGAGGAAATTTAAAGCCTAAGAAGGAATGAAAATTCTCGATCTTTTTCTTTCGTTACCAAAAAAAATTTTAACGAAAATTTTNATTAAGGTCCTTGAAAATTTTGTTGAGGTCCTTGAAAAGTCCTGGAAAGTCCTTGAATTTCAATCTCATTATAGAGTGGGAACCCTGTATGTATGTTTGATTGTTTGCGCTAGTAAATACTTAAAGTAATATCGATTTTGTGACGAAGTAATCTAACTTTTTTTTCACACTTATTAAGTTTTATTCATGCACATTAAGCTCTAATTTTATTTTGTGCTCTTGTTATGCTGCATTACTGTGTATACCACAGCAAATTGATGCTTTTAAGAATCAGGCAAAACTCGAGAAATATTTTTCAAGAACTTTCAAGTAACAAACATGACGTAGCAAAAATACTTAACAGTGAAATTTATCATCTTCATTAACCAAGCATAGAATATTCAAAATATCTGCTTATATTTTTATCTAAGCAGTCTTTGCCATTGTTGGTAAACAAGTGTTGTTATACCTATATTCCAATTGCTTAGTTTAAGAAAATTTTAAAAATAATTTCATCTTAACAAGTATGATATCGATTTGAAGACTAAGGTATTCTATGCAAAAGCTCATATTTAATTGATTTAGAACATTAAGGGCAGTAATAAAATAAAACTAGAATTTTTCATTTCTTAAAGGTAATATCTGACAAAAAAAAATTTTTAGTTTTTTATGTTTCAGATTTTCAGTTTTCTCTCAACTTGCTCAAAAATAACATTTTAAATGTTATTTTCATCTTATAATTTTATATTTTTTGTTTTACTTGAGAAACTCTGCTAGTATTCATGTTATGAAGAAAAATCATATATTATCTCTGTAGAAAGATTATTTATTTAGGCTGTCTTCAAATATATGTATATAGCCATGTGTATTTTATTTTTAAAACTGTTGTTACTTTTTTAGATCCAAATGAGCTGGAATATGAGTTTTTACCTGATGAACTAGAATTAGTAGATGATTCAGCATTAACGTTTACCTCACATACAGGTACATGTTTTTTATTTATATGTTGATGCTCATTTTTATTACATCAGCCTAAATGGGATAGAACTTATTTTTAAAGATTTTTAGAAAATGTCTTAGGAATATAAGATAAATCTTAAGCATTACGCTAAGAACAATTGTTGAAACTCTTACAAATGGAATTTTAAAACTGTTACACACATGCATCTCTTAAAAAGTTTAGACTGTACACCCCAATCCTTGTAACACAACTTTGGTCTAATTTAATGATTCTGAACTTTTTTTTTGTTATTCTAAATTATAGGCATTGAACATTTAAATTATTATTATTTTTTTGGAATGAACTATATTAAAAATATGCAACATGAAATTTAAACAAAAAGTTTTAGGCATATTACCAAAAAAAAAAAAGAAAGATCTGTTATCTAGAGATGAGACCATTGTATATAAGAAATTTCTATAGCTTATAATAATAAAATCTTAAAAATGCTTTTATTTTATGAGTTTGTCTTCAATGTCTTTTTTCATTTGAATTATATCAACATAAGTTATAGTAACTTTATGTTGAAATTTGCAATGCATCCTACATCAACATAGTTATTATTTATAAATGTTTTTATTATATTTTATTTTTGATGTTGTGTAAATGCAAATTTTTAATTTTATTTCGTAAATTTATTTTTTTTCTTTTGATATTATTAGAGTTTAAGTATCAAAGTTTTCATTTTACAAGACAAACACACTTGTACATTTTTATTGTTTCAGTTTTTATTCATTGTATAATAACATAACGTCAAACATATATATCATCTTTAATTAAAAGGTTATCAAACAAAACTGAACTTAACTAACATGAGTTTTTAAAGCTATTTTATATTATTTATTTATTTTGCTTGTTTCAATTTGTTTTTCCCGTTTTAATTTTTCCATCCACCTCTCCTAATGTAACAGCTACTATCTAGTTAATTCAGAAAATTTTTAGTACTTTATATTGATTAATTTTCAACAATATTAACTTAAAATGTCTAATTTGTACTGCATTGAAATGAGATATGAATACACAAACTGTGTGAAAATGTATAAGAAAATATTAAACCACAATTACAAAGAAACCTATTGTTCCAAAATGATATTTTCATGTGCATTGTCAAAATTATATTTTTCAATAAGTTGCACAAAACTGAAATAGTTAACTAAATTAGTATTATGGTGGTTATTTTAGAAAACAAGCTGTATTTAAAAACAAATGATGTAAGGTTTTCTCATGTACTTGGTTACATAGCGTTTTTAAAAAGTGCTTCAAGGTGCTTATTTTCAATTTTCGTGATTTAAAAGTTCTTAAAGGTGCATTTTTCATTGGATGTTTTGAAAAAGTGCTTTATTTTCCCTTTTCAAAAATGAGATTTTTTTTTCATTCCCATGTCGATTTTCGACATGTATTATGCAAAAGCATGCTTTTCGCATTGTTCTATTCAACGTTTTCACAATTCATTTCGGCGTACCGTCGGTCCATAGCATTTGAAAGCGCCAATCATTTTACATGCTTGATAAAATACTTGCAAGTCTGTATGTGCGTCTACTGAGCTAGGTTTGGTGAGATTGCCTTCTCATGTGCAACTCTGCTGCATTTTACAAGATATTCTCAATTTCCACCATCTGATATCAATCCGAAAAATCTCTTGATCATTTTATAACGACTAATATAATCAAGAAAAAAGTTCTTTGTCAGAAACTAGTTATTTTCTCATGATCAACTGAAGTCTTTGAAAATTATTTTGCATTTTGTTAATGTATATAGTGCTTAAAAATATTTTTTGAGCGCTTGAAAAGTACTTAAAAGGTGCTTATTTTTTGTTGAAAGATTTGACTACACAGCCTGATGTAATTTGATTATTTCTTTTGCAAAAATTTCCAATACTTTTAATTTTTATTCGTTTCATTGAATTTTGTCTTTTACTTTCATTTGTATTGTATTTCAAAATTCATTTACTTATTATTAAATATTATTTTTGTTTTATTCAATTCAGATTCTGTATTATGCTGCAGTTTTGATAAAACTGGCAGTCTTGCTGTTACTGGTGGACAGGATGAAAAAGCTTATGTATGGTATACAGGAACTGGTGTTGTTAAATTTGAATGTCCTGGTAAAGATTTTTGTTTATCTTTTTTTATCAATAATTTTCTTTTATGTATAAAAAATGTATATGTTTTATAAATATATTTATACTTAATAGTAAAGCAATAACCTTATGATATTTTCCTTGTAATTATATTTCCCAAATGTAAATTTCTTACTTTAATCCATTTTAAGGTTATTCATCTCTGAAATGTAATACTGACTAAATGTAATACTGAGAACTTTCAAACAAGCGAAACCACTGTGTTCTAAAGAGTAGTTACTATTCACTGTAAATATATTTTCACTGAATAGTGAAACAATAACCTTAATGATATTTCCCTTATAATTATATTTCATACATGTAAATAATATCTTACTTTAATCAATTTTAATCAATTTTTCACCACTGAAATTATCTAAATGGAACACTGAGAACTTTCAAACGAACAAAACCGCTGTGCCCTAAACAATCTATTATGTTTTTATGTATGATAGGTATTTTCTTGATGTGATATTTGCTCTGAGAGTTAGCTTAAAAAATCATTTAAGTCTCTTCTTCAAAAATAGTATGTGTACTTAATGCAGTCCCGTACTAAAATTGTAAATAAAGAAACTAAATGTCCTTTTGGTTGGTGGAAGTAAATATTAATATCAAGGACAGAATAATTTTTCTAAGCTGATGTAGTGAAAGAGAACTGAAATAGTGCTACAGAAATAGATACATTTTTATCATCCAAATTTTTTATTTAGATGATAGTTGTACCGAATATTTTATTTTATAACCGGCGTTGAACAAACGGCTCATTTCTGAGTTTACAACTATCATTGTTCAGCTCCGTAACCTTGTACTTTTGAATAAAATTCAAAAGAAAATGGAACTAATGCCCATTTGTGTTGCAGCTGGGATTCAAGGCCGAGGCACCTTATTTGAGGGCGGGTGCTCTATCCCCTGAACCACCACGGCTTGTAGATAATATTTATGGTTTTGTAGCAAAATATATTTTTGAATGTATGTTAATAATTTTTAAAAAAAAGATAGTTTTGATCTCTGGAACAGGAAAAATACGGTTTCTAGAACAGGAAACTTATGGCTTCTAGAACAGGAATCTTACGGGTTTTGCTACAATTAAGAACAAAAATGCTGTTAAATTTACAACGCTCATATTTTCCATATCATTCCCTTTATTTATGTTTCCTATTATCTTTAGCATATCATTGTTATATGTCTTCGTGAATTCGAACATGTAATTTTTTTTTTCTTCCTTTAACTTTGTTAGGTCATACTGAATCAGTAATATCCGTTCATTTCAATCATGATGATTCTCTTGTTGTGACTGCTGATATGGATGGAGTAGTACAAGTTTTTGATGTGGCTAGTGGAACAAAAGTGTGGAATTTTGATGCTACAGAAATCACTGTAAGTTAGAACTGATGACTTCATTTTAAGTTCTTACAACAAAACAAAATCATTATTAAAACCATTGATACAATAACATTGCATAGCAAGAATACAATAATTTTTAGACTCATGTTGAAAGGAAAGATTAATTCAGTTTATTAATGGTAAGATTTTAATTGAATGTATAATTTTTTTAATTAAATTTACTCTTTATAGAAGTATTATACAAATGTTAAATTGTATGTAATTGTGACTGTATACTTTCCAACAGTAGTTAAGAGCTGTAAGAGTGATTATTGTATTGTTGTTTTTACTGCTTTTTCTTTCTTTCAATGAATAAAGTAATTAAATATATTTTTATGCGTATATCTAGTGGACAGAGTGGCACCCTACAGCAAATATACTTTTTGCTGGTACAATTGATGGAAGTTGTTGGAAGTGGAGTGTGCCTGGAGATGATATCTGTAGCTTATTTCAAACAAGTGGATCTGGAAGTTCTTGTGGCAAATTATTTGATAATGGTATGTTAAATTTTTGAACTTTTTATTAATAACTGCTAATAATTAAACTGTTTATTATGGGACTTATAAACATTAAAACTGCTTTTCTTTTTTAAAAAAATTTATTATAAATATCTTATTCTTAAAACATTTTTTAAGAGGTTTCATAAAGGAGGACTTAATATTTCTTACATTAAAAGTTGATGTGATTTGTATACATAAAAATGTTTTGTCTTTAAAAAACTTGTAATGCAAAATATTGTTTGCTAAACTCATCATATTTGGCTTGACATTCTGGTCAATGCATCCCTTGGTATTCTTTTCCACTGCATTTTATTTTTGGCATTTGTACACCACCAGTTCCTTTTCTAGACAGCAAGAAACAAGTTTTCCTATGATTCCATCCACCTACATCTGGGTCTTCTCCTTTTACCTCTTTACAAAGGAAAAAGTTTTTATAGCAGAATCATGATGCATTTATGTGCTACCCAGCAGGGGTGGCAAATTTCTTCCACAGTGGAAAAAGTCATGGAAAAAATTGCCATAAAAATAAAATGTTTCCTTCAACCCAAATGGAAGAAACACTTTCTAAAAAATGACATCAAATATTTGTGCAACTTTTTTTATCAGTTTATAATTGCAGTCTTATTTATAAAATAGCATTATATTCTAAACTTTTTGAAATAATTAAAATCTGGAAAGAAAAATAAGTTTCATTAATTTGAAATAACTCTAGTTCTTTATTATTTTATGTAAATGAGTATAGTAGAACTAATTTTATAATTATATAAAGAACTGTTAAATTATCTTAATCAAGTTTTAATTAACAAATGACACATTTCTGGAATCAAATGTTGTTCAATGTAAATACTAAAAAATATCTTAAATAATATGATTGATAGATTTTAAAATTCTAAGTAAAACTAAAATATGGAAGAAAAAAGAAAATTTAAATCTAAGCTACTCTTATAATTCATATTGCTGAACAATTGAATTGGTCATATTTAGTTTCTTCCATTTTGTCTTGTTTCTTTCTTTTTTTTTCCAATTTCTTCCCTTGTCTTAGAATAAATAAGTTTCACATGGATAAATGCTATTACTGTCGTGCAGTTAATTGGGTTAATTTTCATTTATTTCATAATATATGACTCTGTCGATTTTATTTGCTCACAGTATTGGTGACAACTCTTGCCTCCAAAAGTTTTGTAGAGAGGTAGGACTAGGACTGTCATCTATTGAGAATCTCACATCAAATTGTCTTAAGAAAACATGCTATATTTATGTGTGCTCTACAATAACAATATTTACTTTTAGTAATTTACTTTATTTGCTATTACAGTGTTTTTCTAATATTTAAACAGATATGAAATTAGATTTGAAAATACAATATAAAAAAATTTTTTTAAGGTACTAAGTGTGCTGTAGGCTATATGGAAGGCTCTATAAAAGTTTGGGATACTGAAAATGTACAATTAATTGGCTCTGTTACAGGTAAAATATTTTTATGATAATAATATTTACATGAAGTGGTTAATTTTTGAACATTTGTATATTTTCCCTTGTCCATAAATAGGCTTTGTTTTGTGTAAAACATGTTTCTGATGTTTATTAAGAATTAAGTTTTTATATTTGTATATTTTCTTCACCATATTTATATAGTGACTGGATAACTGTTTAAAATGCAATTCCTTTTCTTATTTTGGAATGCATTTTTATGTATGTTATAAAATTGTAACTATCACTTTAAATATATAAATTTCAGTAATTAATCCTTTTTAATGTTTTTAGGGAAAGAAGCTCATGAAAGCAACGTAAATTGTATTACATGCAGTTCAGATGGTTCTTTAATTGCTACTGGTTCTGAAGATGGTACTGCTAAAATTATTAGGTCAACTAACTGTAGAGTAAGTAGTGGTACAGCGAAAAGAAATTCAAATAATAATTTTTGATAAATCTCTTTTATTTTATTTTATTTATTTTATTTTTTTTTTTTTGGTATATACTTTTTGCAATGTAATCTTGAAGTATGTCGTACATTATTTTATATCCATGCATATATTTTTTAATTTGGTAATATGTTTTAAATGCACCTAACTCTGATTTAGGTGTTAAAGACATTACAGTGTTCTCTGTCCGATGAAGATAAAGAATCAATTGAAGGAATCGGCTTTTTACAAGGGTATGACGGAATTTTATTTTATTAAGTTTGCATTTTAAAAATTTAATTTTAACTCTTTTTTTTTTTCAAAGTCACGTTTTTGCTTACAAGCAGACACTTGAGTGTAACTCTCTAAAATAGCGTAAGTTAGAAAATGTGACTCAAGGACAATTTTGAAATGAAGTATCAGAAATAATGTAAATTCAATTACTAAAATGGTTTTTAAGTTATTCAAAAAAATGTGCAAATGGTGATTTCAATTGCAAGCATGCATCTTTAAGTACATTGTAGGTTTACAAGTGCGCTTAAAGTTGCAATAATGGTTCTACTGTATTTGTAATCCCAGTAAATGTTTTTGCATGACAAATGGTTACATCATACAAAATCCTTAAATCCATAATTTTCTCTCTTTTTTTTTCTTTGTCTATATAATATATTTTGATATAATATATATTTATAATATAATATATATTCATAATATCATATGTATTTATAATGTAATATATATTTATAATATATGTATACAAGTCTGAACTGTCATTGTGAAGAACTGGGGTTCCATCCCCAGTGGCAACTTAAAACCCACCCAGCTTTATATCGATGGGTACCAGCTTGTCTGTGAAGTAAAGGCAGTCTGTGCACAATGCTGACCACATTGTCACAATCATGCTGTTGGTTATGAAATTGTGAAACCTTAATCTTCATGGAATTCCCTGGCTCACTCAAGCTGTTGCGGGAATGCTTTTTGCTATTTTTCGTTCTATTAAGGGCTTTTTTTTCCCTAATTTTCTCACTATTTTTCAAGTTTTCATTTTTTGAGGGTGTATAAAAATAACTGCAAAACTAAAATTATTCCATCATTCACCATCAGATTTTTCAAAATTTTATTTATTCTATATATATTATTATAGTATCTAAATTTATAAAAAAATCTATTCATAATAAATGCTAGTAAAGTCATAATAAATGCTTGTTGCTAGTAACAATACATCATTCCAAGATAATTAAAACATTTTTCATCTATTATATTATCTAACATGTTAATCTCATATCAAATAGTTCCTCTTACTAAAAAAAGATTATTTACCTTAATAAAATCGATGATATATCAACTTTTTTTTCGTATTATATTTTGTCTGATTTAATTTTTTATTTATTTATCCTAAATAAGCCTCATAGGTAAACTGTACATAGTACACATTAATAAAGGTATTATCCTGAAACACTTTTGTTTTAATGATTATATTTTCATTAAATAAGTGTCTAACTAATGGTTTAAAGTAGCTCTCAAATCTTAATTAGTGTAAACTATTAATAAAGATGACGGATTTTGTTTTTTGTTCATCGAAATATGAGGTTAGTCACAATCTGGAAAATATGGTACTAAGAATTTTTTATTTATTTTATTATTATTTATTTAATTTTATAGCTCAGAAACTGTTGAACCAATTTCGCACAAATTTTGTATTTTGGCATGCAGATTTACATAGTTTATAATTGTGTAAATATTTGTATATCTTGCAATTCAATATATTTCAACTTTCATTAAATAAAAACAATAAAAGAAATTGGTTAAAAATTATTTTCTGCATGTGTATTCTTGTGTGAAAAAAAAATTTATTCAGTTTAAAATCTGTCTTTGAGACAGCTCGTCTGTTTTAACTATTGGAATTTTATTTTCCTTATAATTATCCCCCCCCCCATCATATTCTGATAGTCAAAAATGCAAATCCATTGAAAAAAGTATTTTTATTGAGAGAAAGTGTATTTTTGTTATTTGTTTCGTTTGCATTTTGCTTGAGTTAGAAAATTTCAATTTCTCCTATCAGTAAGCATTTAGTTTTGACTTATTATGAGAATTTTTTTCTGTGTATCTAAGCTGATAAAAATGTTACTTAGTTTATTAATTAACTAGCAATTATACCAATATGTTTTAATAATCTTATACTTTGCAGGCATACACTTTTAGCTGTTGGAACAAATGATGGCAATTTAAGAATATTCGATGTTTCAACATTTGTACTCAGATCACTTGTTTCTGTTAGTGTATGTATTGTTGCATGTACACTATGCAATTTTGAATGCTCAAAAAGTTAAAAAGTTCATGTTTTTATATTGTTACTAAGAAACTTTTAAAAAAAAAATTTAAAGATTTCATTATAAATTAAAAATAATTTAATATAACACTGACATTAAATTATGCAAAATTAAAAATATCGAGAAAACATGGAAAATATTAAAAATTAATGACAAGAGAAGAAGAAAAAATATAAAAATAGAATATTTTTAAATAATATTAAAAAGCTGGAAAACAAAATAGTGAAGAGATATAATCTCAACATCAGCTCATGCGATTATATCCGCAAAAAGAAGTGCTTTCTCATATTGTATCAATATACCCAAAGCAAAATATTCAATAGAATAGTAAGGTGAGGAGCACTAAAAAAATTGCTTAGATCTCTCTCTCTCTCTCTCTCTCTCTCTCTATATATATATATANTTTTTTTTATCTGCAGAAGTTTTTGAAATACTTTTTTCCACAGAACTTTTTTCCTCTTTCTGCAGAGTTTTATTTAAAAAATAGCTTTTTCGCGTACGCTTGCGATTTTTTTTTTCCTACTTTCTTTTGATAGTAAGAAATTTCACATTTGCTGGTTTTATCTGGAATTTCAGATTAATATAAAAAAATATTTCCAAACAGCAAAAATTTTAAAAACATTAACTATACAAATATTTTTTTAGAACAGGAGAATATCGCCAATAGTATTAGAATACGTATTCTTTTATGTGTAGATTAAAAAATAAATAAAAACTTACATTTATAATTAAAAAAAATTATATACTGTTCTATGAATTGAGGCTTTTTTTTTCTTTTTATAAACAGAAAGCACTTGTGTTATTTTAAATTAGTCACAAATATATTTGCTACTATTAAAAATGTCTCTCAGAAAGGTATTAGTACTAGAGAGAATTGTCTCGGAAAGTTCGAAAAAATCCTGCTGCAGGGTATAAGTCATATCAAAAGTTTATATATTGAATGAAAACACTTGTAACAGCCACAAGTATAAAGATTTAAATTTTAGAAATTTACAAGTTTCTGTAACTTGTCATGATCCTGATCCTAAAGTGTACTACTAGCACCTATACTTCTGAAGAAATATTCTAAGACTTATTAATAAATAAGAAAATTCATTAAAATTAATAAAATATTTAGATTGTTTAAACTTTTTAAAACACAGTATTTTTTTCTCTTCAAGTTTTGTCTTTCTAACTGATTAAAATTATTGTGCCTGCACAATATTCAAGTTTTAACACATTGGGCATGGGAAAGTAGGGTAGCCTCAAAATGTTCTTTCATTGGAATTCAAATTTGTCCCAGAAAGGAAAAAAAGTGAACAGATGTGTTTCGTTAGCTATTTAAAAAAAATAATAAAATAATGATAACAATAACTTCTGTTATATGTATTCTTAAAAAGTAATTTAGAAAAAAGTTAATTACTTATAATGGATTTTCATTTATATGCACTTCAACATAAATTTATAAATTGAGCATAAATAATGTAAATACTGTAATTAGTAATTTCTAAAAATTCTATCTAGATTGCATTAGATAATTATTTATTTTACATTAATTACTTAGATATATTTGAAAAACTAAATTTTTAATTTCTTTGATTTGTTAAATATTGTTATAATTAAGAAAATGTTCACTACTTTTAGAACAATTTTATAGCTGCTTTATACTTACATTGATTGATTATGATTGTTAAGTTTGTAATGAATAAATATGTTTATTTAATATTTTTGTAATTATTTTGGTTGATTTATCTATTCACTAAAATTCCGAACTATTTATCAGGAATTTTTTCAAAAGCTGGGAAGCTTAGGATTTCATGGAATAACAGTACCTGGTAAGCATTAAAGTAAATTTATGAGGCACAATTGAATGTATCATTTTTTTTTTAAATTTGTTCATTTAAATTAATTGATTTTAGAAAAATATGGAGGTTCAGGTCAGGGATTTTTGGACCATATTATCATCCTGGAGGAAATGTCTAGAGTTTCTTCTGCTATTGCTCTTAGCTATGGTGCTCATTCCAATTTGTGCATTAACCAAATTGCTAGGAATGGAAATGAGGCTCTTTCCCAATATAATTTAAAAAGTAATATTACTGATATATTTGCTATAAATCACATAACAGTATTTATTAAAAGAAATGAAATATTAATGTATATTCTCAGTAGTTTTAATTTGCTAAACCAGGTAGTTTTTCAAGTAATAATTGTCTCTTATGTGAACTGAGGAAAATTATAATTTCCAGCTTTATTTTTTCAATTGGTAATTTTTATTTTCACTAAATGTTAAGTAGCAATGTAATCATTTATATAATAATAGATTAGTACAAAATTGTATGTCAACACATTATTTATTACCTTAAACTGTCTGGAATTTATTATCAAAGGGTTGCGCTTGCGTAAAATTTATGATCGTGGAAATTCAGCTTTTTTGCCTTTTGGCTAATCTCATCCCTGTATATGTTAAAAATACACCACTTTTCTGCATCTTATTTAACTGCCATTATTAATGCTTACAGTTTGAACATAAACATCATTTTAAAAAGAATATTAGTTTCAAACGTACTATACTCTTAATTCATATTGTAAATTTAAATTCTTTAAAATTTGCTATTTCTTCTTTCTTTCTAACATACTATTTTTGAAATTGTGTTATGATAGGCTCCAATTGTTAAATTAGTGTGTGATGAAGATCAACCATTAGTTTATATTGCCAGTTTTGGTAATATTGAAAGATATGATGCTCGCACTGCACAGATGGATAAAAAATGGACTGGGCATGATAATCGAATTTTAGATTTTGTAATCTCAGGGTATGTATGATTTCCTCGTGTTACCATTGCCTTTTTTTTTCAGGTTATTACTAACTATTTTATCCCTGATGTTCATATCTGCAAATCAATAAGTTATATTCTGGCTAAATATTTAAATAAAATTCCGAAAATCTAAAATTTTAAATTTTTCCGGAGTCCTGTTAAAAAGAATTTTTTCCTCCTTTAAAAACTTTTTTTTTCTGTTTAACCTTTCTTCTTTTCCTCCAATCTAGACTAAACTGAGATATTAATTAGAATATTAACTCTATTTAATGGTCCTTTTGTTACAAATCTAAATCATTTTTCCCACTGTCTGTCATATACCCTTTTTAATACTTTTATGTATAATTACTAGGTTCATTCACTAATTTGCCATAAATTAAGTTTTACCATTAACTGAGACTCTTATATTAAGTTATTAACCAAAACTCAGAAATGATAAATTTTCAGCCCATTTCAATGTTGTCTATATCAACATTTATAAAAATTTAACGATTGCTTTCTATTTTAAGGAAATATTTTAACGACAAATTACTGATGTTTTAAAAATAATTGCACCCTTCATAATTTTATGTATTGTATGTTTCAGAAACTTGTATAATAGTACTAAAAACTTATTGATTAACTAAGATAAGGGCTAGCTACTGGCAATTTTGATTTATCAAAATGGCATTGCTGAAAGATCATCCACAAATTAAGTTTTGTCAAGTTTTAGGTTATACCCATTTAACTTATGTTTTTATGTAATTCATCTACCTAAATCTTTTATATTTAAATTTATGTAAGGTGCAATTCAATATCTACTTTACAATAATTATCTATTTTACAATCTGCTATAATAGCAATGACTGGATGAATAATCTTGGAGGGTATGCATATGTAAATACTTGATATTTTGATGATAAAAAAAATTTCTCAAAAACAATTTTTTTTTAATTTATTTACTTTTTTTAATTTCCCTGTCTTTACATTTTTTCCTTTCTTTTGTATGTGTAAAATTGATATTTAATTAATTAATATTTTTCATTTTATTAATTACACACATTCACTGAAACTCAATGTTTTTCTTATTTTCAATTACTTAATCTATATAATTAATATTTTTTCCTGGTTTTAAGATATCTCAGCTTTACTTATTTGCATACCAAAAAGTTAGACATTTTGATTTATCACATTTATTATAGAGTGATCATTCTCACTTTATTTGAATATATTTTTTGCAATAAATCTTCATACATAAATTATGAACATTCTATTTGTTTTTATCTGCCTGTATGCTGCTAAAAAATTGTTCAATCTTGCACCAGAATATCAAAATGTTATGTATAATATCACTCAAATTTGTGAAACTGTGTTGAACTCAATCAATTGTGTAATAAAGTATAAAAGGGAATTATTATTATTTTTTTTTTCAGAATAATTTTTGTAACTGTGTTATGAATTTATTTTATTACTAAGTGATCTTTCTTTTATTACCTGAAGTTTATTTTATCGACATTCAAAAATCGTAATCAAAACAATTCTTACATTTCACTAGGCTTATTCAGCTTTAAGAAATTTTCTTTAAAAAAAAAAACTATAATAGTGCAAATAAATTAGCTATGTTAAAAAGAAGAAAAAAAACAGGAATATTAATGTAATTGAACCAAGTTAATTAATTTCTTTTCATGAAATAATGTTTTTAATTTTTTAAAGCTTTCAATTTTCAAAAGTGTTAAAGTGAATGAGAACATATTTTTGGAATAATTAAATAAAAGCTAGAATGTTTTTTTATATGTTGTGTGTATTACTTTGCTTACATTAATAGCATATTGTTGTTTACAGGGACAAACAAAAGGCACTGTCAGTGGCTGATGACACCTTGTGCAAAATATATGTAATCAGATAATGATACATTACTATACCATAAATAAATTATTCTGTAAAATAAAATTATTTCTTATACTCAAATTTATCAATTTATTTTCTTTCAAAATATTATTATATAATTTCATTACACTGATTTATGTTCTACATAAATGAAAATATTATTTAAACATCTAAATTACAGGATTAAAATAATTTTATTCATTATAACCATGCAATAAAAAAAATCTTCCCTTTTTTATTGTATAAAATATTGTAGTATTTTATTTATAAAATATCGTTTTAAAGAAAGAATCATTTTCTGTCGATTTTGTGTTTCTATGGATTGAACTTGTTAGAATTCAATATTTTTGAGCATTTAACCAGTTTATAATTTTTTGAGCATTTAACCAGTTTATAATTTATAAAAAAAGTTTTTGTTATTTTTAAACTCATACCTTTAAAAAATATGTATTACTTTTTAGTTTTGCAAAATGTAATTTGCGCTGATACACAGAAATGTTAGTGGCTATCTTACAAAGCTCTTTTCATATAAATAATTTTTTAACAAAACAGTGTAGGAAGAAAATCATTCCAAATTATTAAATTTATTTCTAAACAGCAGATTATGCGCAGTGTACTTTACATTCGTATTGATGGAATTAGATTTACAATATATATGTATTGAGATTTTCAAACAATAATGGGTAATTCTAATATTCTTTTTTAACAAATATTTCTTGATTATTAACATTAATTCTCTTACATTGAAAAATTTAGTTTCCTTAAAACAACCTAATTTGCATCTTATTATTATTTGTCATCACAGCAGAGGTTATGGTGATATATCCTCTAGGGGTTATATGTATCCAATGCAAGAAATTCTATCAACTTAAACAAATTACCAATTTAAAAAGGTGGTTAACTTATCAGATGTTATATCATAGTTTGTACATTAAAATGTTAGTTAGAAGTATATTCAGTTGTACACTTTAATTACTCACTACTGTCCGATTCTCTCATTTGATGTATATATGTCAGTATGTTTCCATTTTATTCAATTATAGCTAAGGTATTGAAAAATGGTTGTCACTCTTCAGTCATGAGGACTGAAATCAGTCATGAAAAAAGAGCAGTGGAATGATTTTCCATCCTCCAATAAATATTTATTTTCCATTTGTTTTTCAAATTAAGTTTTCATTTGCAAATTTAACTTTTTCTTTAAAAATGTCATAATTATTTTACGTTAAAATAAATAAAAAAATTATTACTATTTATGGAAAAAAATTGTTTTTATAATTATTGCAAAATTATTAAGTAATGATGTTGAAATGGGATTGATCGACTTTTTTTTTCATGCTGACATACATACATGTGATTGTCTAAGCAAAATATTGTTGAATCTAAATCTGCTTTAGTTTGTATATTTTTCCCAACATTTTGAGATAGTGGGCAAAGTTAAATTAAGATTATTTTTTAAATTATCAAATTTATAGATCTATGACAAAGCATTAAGTCATAGATCAAGTGTAAAATAAGTGAATCAAGTGTAGATCAAGTGTAGATAAGTGAAGTGTAAAATAAGTAGAAATATGCATGAAAAGATTAGTAGTGTGTTTTAACAATTGGTGTAATACAAATATACTAGGATTTTTTTTTTTTTAGCTGTAAAAAATATTTCAATGAAGAAAAGAATTTTTTTTTTTAAATAATCTATCTTTGTTATAAAGTGTGGGCCATTCTCATGGAAAGCGAACGATAAATTTTCTAAAACAGTGTTAAACGCTAATGATTTTAAAATGCTACACTGTGTTAATTGGTCAAAAAACATGTTCACTTATGAAATGTTTCTGGAGTGGCACCCATGATTGAAATTAGGCAAGTCATTAAAAAAAGAAAATTTCTTTTTTTCACCTTAATATCAATTGATGTATAAAATTTTTCTTGACATTTATTATATTTTTTTTTTCTCGACAATGACATTTTTAAAATCATTTTTCTCAGAAAATAATGCTAGTCTCGCTTCAGATGGTATAAATTGAACTTTTTCTGAACGTTAGCAGTTTTAGCAATTTCAATTAGAATTACTTTTCAAATAACCAATATTTTTTTTAAAAATTAAATATTCATCCAATATTTTAACTTTATCAAAAGCACCTCAGTATATTTATTGGTTATTAATCCTAATCCATCTTTCAACTGTATTGTATTAAATAGTGTTTAATTTTAGCATTTAGTTCTCACCAGTTTAATCGCTTGATATAAAATTAATTAACTTGATTCAGGGTGGCTACCCACCTTGAGAACTTGGAATTATCAGGGGATTTTTTTTACACTGGAAAAAAAAATCAGGGAATTTTAAAGAAAAGCTGGAATTTCTTTCTTCAATTTTTTTTTAATTTTACTAATTTAAATTATTTTACCATATATACCCACTTTTAATAGATAGAAATTTATTGCTATATAGTTGAAATTTGATCAACTTAGCAATACTTTGCTTGCATCAAAAGATGCCATATGAAACTCTCCCATGGTTGTTAAATGAATGAATAAATCTGACTATGGGACTATGCAGTTTAGAAAAGACAAAGAAAGTTGTGGGGGTGAAAGAAGGGAGTAGGATATTTGCTTCTGTTTATAAAACTAGTTTTTTTTTTTTTCCTTCTAGTCTATGGACTGAATCCATTTATTGTTCAAGTTTGTCCAGATGCTTTTGAGGTAGTTTTTTTTTTTTTTTTTACAAAATGTTTTAGTATTTTTATCTTAATGAAGTACTCCAAAAATGAGTTGTTTATAACTTAATGACATTAGATTTTATATTGCACTAGCTTTTGTACTCACATTCAATGAGATCAGTGAATTTGTTTTTCTCAGCAAAGCTAATCAATCACAATTTTTGTTGCAATCACTAACAGCAATGTTTGTCAACAAATCATTTCAATGATTGCATTAATTCTAATTTTCTCAATTTCATTGTAGCCTTTTATAACATATTTTGATGGAAAATAGGTTCTTTTAAGAACCAACTATATGTTAACATTTAATTTTACTGTTTTGTTGGTAAATTTTTGATTGAAAATATGAATTTAGCAATTACAATGTAAAAGTTCGTAAATGATGCTTGTATTCCAGAGATATTTCTGAAACTGTGCCTCCTTTTACTTTAAAAAGCTGGCTGGAAACATGCTGACCTGGAAATTTTAAAATGTTTACCTGGAAAAATCAGTGAAATTTGAAACCTGATTTGAGTGACCATCCTGTGATTTTATCTCCGTTTGCTAAATCTTATTTTTAGTCTTTTATTTATTTTTTAATTTTGCAAATTTCAGCTTCTTTGTCTTTTTTTTTTTTTTTTTTGAAATTCATTATACTGTTTATATTAAAATGCATTTGTAAGAATATACTAATGAAAATTGAAAGAATGAATAAATTAATAATCTGAAGAATTTTTTTAATTATTATCTCTTGAAGTCTATCCTTTATCTGGGTTTGACAATGTACAATTATGAATTGTAATTAATGTTAAATATGCCAATTTTAACGAAGCATTTTATCTCTTCTTTTTTTTTCTTTTTTTTTTTTTTTACTATATGGATCAATCAGAGTAATGAAAAGATTAAAATCTCTATAGACAGTTTATTTGAGTATGAAATTTAAAGAAAAGTTCCTAGAAAAAAGTTACTACTGTCCAATCTGCCATGAAACAAATAAAAGTTCAAACGCAACTGGAATATCTGAAAAAGTCAGGGAAAACATGATACAACAAAAAACTGTCAAGGCAAAGTGAAATTTTACTCTCAAACCAATTGTCTATGAATTGTTCACCTTAATTCGCTAGAGGTTTCACGCTTACGTACAAGTTAATATTTTAAAAAATATTTGAATTATTTATCTTTCAAATTATTACTATCCTTGAACTCATGGATTTTTCACTAATGGAATTTTCAAGTGTTAGTTTAGGACAGCCTACAACAGTAGATCTTAATTTTAATTTTTTCAAACTTTTTTGTATCCTTTATATTCATTTCATCTAAAATTAACAATTAAGATTAAAATGTATCAACAGTACTAAAATCAAGAAGTTTGCGTCTAGGGCGTCGTCCACTAATTGTACAAACTCTTCAAGGTTTCTTATTTATCTTACTGGATTTGTAATTTCAAGAATTTATAATACTCTTGTATTATTTTATTACAAAAAAACTCTGTTTTTTTAAGTCTTAAGAGTTTTAAAAAGTATGAATTCAAGGAATCTCCATTCATTTAATATTAGTAAATGCAGTGACAAATTTTAATGAAGTTGATTTTTCATAAAAATATTTGAATAATCTCTTTATCATTCTATTTATAAGCAGCTAAAATTAATAATTTAATAATCACAGAATTATTAAAATGTATTGAGACACTGTATACTAATTTATTTTGGGGGGGGAAATTACGAATCTGAGGAAAAAATTTTTACCTATTATCGAATCTTCAAATTTAGGAGGAAAAAAATTTTTTGATAAATTTTGCAGCTTTCTAGCTTTTACATTTTTAAGTCGCCAACTGGCCTGTGTAGGGATTAGGGAACTGCCCTTGCATCAGAAAGGTTCTGGGTTCAAATTCCAGGCAAGGATTGGATGCTCTTTCCTTCTCTGTACTATCGATCCTTACTGTGGGTGCAACGTTGGCCCACCTAATATGGTGCCCCTGAAAGAGTGGATCTTTCTAAAAGGTGGGCATTTGGGGGGGAAAAAAAATTTTTAAGCCTATGATGATAGTATTTAATAATTAATAAATAATTTATTAAGAGCCATTCATTAATTCATCAGTATAATATTATTTTATTTAGGTGTTCATTATCTGACTAATTCACCACTCTTATTTATCAACTCAGTATGATGAAAAGTAATATTCTTCTTTAAAAGAAAACTCTTGATTAAGTGGATTTCTCTATTAGTGTAATTCTGATAAACTTTTATTTTTTATTAGCATTTTTATTATAGCCCAAATTTTGTTTTTTTTTGTAAAAAAAATTAAAATCTGAAAGTTTCCACGTTTAAAATTTGAAACAAATAATAATTAAGCATATGATTTAAATATACGATTTAAATTTTTTCTGTTTC